AGCTGATCAATGTTTCTCTCTCATCGATGTTTCTAACTATCTCTCTCCCTTCCTCTCTGTAAAAAATCAATAAAATATATTTTTAAAAAAATCAATGATAGAAGAGAAAATGAATATTTTTGAAAAATTAGTGTATTTCATCTAGCTTTTACTTTTTGAGATATGCTGAGGCTTTTAAATTTCAAGACATTTCTTGAATTTGGATGCAAGAATCAACTATAACAAACATTCTTGCATCAATAGCTTATTAATAATTTTGTAAGTATAATCTAAGTCTCAATGGGAAATTATTAGTTGATGCAGGATTTAGAAAACATTTCCCTCTGCAGAAATTTAACTGAACCATTAGGCCTCCATAGCCTCTGGATATCTCTGAAATTAATGTAATTAATGAAATGGGCTACCCAAAGCTTTACATAGCAAGGGCAACTTCCTCCATTCTGCTAGCATTGAAAGTGAAATTTTTTTTTTTCTGAAAACTCAAAAGATCAATTAGGATTTTCCTTTGAATGACAAATTCTTTTTCTTTTAAAATACATTTTTATTGTTTTCAGTGAGGAAGGGAGAGGGAGAGAGAGAGAAAAAGCTCAATGATGAGAAATAATAATTAATGGGCTGCCTCCTGAAAGCCTCCTTTTGGGGATTGTGCCTGCAACCCGGGCATATGCCCTTGACGGGATCGAACCTGGGACATGTCAATCTGTAAGCCGACACTCTATCCACTGAGCCAAACCAGCCAGGGCTGAATGACAAATTCTTGAAAGAATTGCTACTCCCTTTCCTGCACTTTGAATGCATTATATGCAGGTGTATCTTGGATTTGCTTTTTAAAAAAAAGTTCCAGAGTGTTCAAACATTTCATTTGAGGGATATTTAATTATCATGCAACAGTCGATCAGGGTTGATTATACTTATTGAAACAAAACCCTTATTTTTTTTTTTTAGTTTTAAATTTTTATCCATTAAAAAGTCCATTCAGATTATAATGTTTAATTTAGAAGTTTACAGAACCATGACTTTTTTCATCATAGAAGTAAGAAGTTACAAACCATATTCCAGTCTCTTCCAGTTTACAGAAAATTGGATTTAAACTGATGGTTGAAATTATGGTAGTGTTTTCTATTACATTCAAAGGCCCAGGATTTGTGTCCAGGCAGAAATTACAAAGTATGTAAAGGACATACTTTGTAATTTCTGCCTGGACACAAATCCTGGGCCTTTGAATGTCTGAAGTGTTAGGAATAAAAACCTTTGCATTCAATGTACATTTTAAAGATTTTTACTTGATATTAGAAAGGAAAAGGCAACCCCTACACCTGCTACTCTACATTAGCATGTACCCTAATATTGAGCTGGTAGAGGAGAGTTAGAAGAATCCTGAGATTCTCTCCCACAGTTTAGCACCAACTGGTCCAGACATTTGTTACTGATGCAAAACTCAAGGAATCTTCCCAATCTGTTACGGTATTTATGTCTATGTTGGAAGCTTGTGGAAAATGAAGCTAATCCAAGAAACCAAACACTATTATTGAAAGAGAAGCAGAAAATATTCCAGTGGCGAATAAGGTGGCTGTTTATTTCATTTGGTGTTTCACTGTATTGGTGACCTCAGTAATGGCATGATGATATTTTTCTGAGGCTGACTTGAATTCCACCAGATGCTTCTCATAACTTTTGATGGCTGCTTGTAGCTGCGTTTTCTCCACTGCTCCTAGGATGGCACGGAAGACCATATCTATGCCAAGGCCAAGAACAGCAACTCCTATGCTACCAAGGAGAGAAGCACCAATTTGAGCTAACACAGTGACCAACTTGTTAATTATGCCAGTTGTGACATTTGAGCCCACGAGTTTAACAGCCACTGCACTGGCTGCAGAAGTGGCTTCTCCCAGGATGACTGAAATAACCTTTTGTACGATTGCAATTTTCTCTGTTTCCCTTTCCTTAATATCCTGAAGTTTTCTATAAAGGGTTGGCTCTAGTTTATCTTTTAGTGCTTCATCAACCTTTTGCAATTCCTTTTGGATTTTCATCACGGCTTGGATAATGGTATCACAGTTTTCTTTGATAGTCCCATTTCTGTTCATCTCAATGGAGGCCAGCCTGCACCCCAAATGCATATTTAAAACTTCAATCAGCTCATCGGTGGCACGGAAGCTCTCCGATAAGCAGTCAAGGAGCTGTTGGTGAAGATGGTGTACTTCTTCCCGCCTCCTTGGGTTCTCTGGGTAGAGGAGGTCACTCTCAGCCATATTTCAAATATGATCTCTGAAAAATAAAATGGTGAATTTTTCACTGAAAATCTTTTAAAAATATCTGCTATTTGCATAGATTTGACCAAGAAATCTTTTATTTCATGAAAAGCAAAGTAGCAATATGCTATGTGAGGAATTCTTCAGGAAACTCAACAGGTTCTTCAAAACAATTTTTATGAAACTTGAAGTCAGTGTATGGAAATGCAGGTAACAGAATACAACCTATGGATGCATTCAGGAATTACATTTTGTGGCGAGGGGAAGTCCTAGATAGGAAATATTTATGTTTATGAGGCATCTGATTATTAATAAATAAATGTGATTATTTTCAAGTAATATTTAATAACATATTTGAAACACTGCAGTTTGAAATGGTTAGTTCTTGATAACCAGAGCTAATGGTTAGCTCCTTTATTTCTCCAACCTCTAGTCACCACACTGAATAGACCTATTGGGTTGATTTCCACAGTATTTGGAGTTAAATTAATAGGGCCAGAAGAATATTAAGATCTCTGAGTTTACAGGGCTATTAATATATAATTTTGTTTATATACTATGTTATCTTAATTTACAATATTCAAATCACTTTATATAAGTTTACAGGCAATTTCTCTAAACCTAAGGGACATTGAAAGGCAAATATAATAGCCCTTTACAAAAAATCCATATAATGAGAGTATAGATTCAAGATTCCTTTCATTACAATCTCACTTGAGGATTAAAGACATGGTCCAGAGGACAGCAGTTATGACTATTTCTCTGATTCTCTATTTTCAAAGCTTATAAAATAAATTATTTAGAATCTATATTGTGGTTGGCCATTATTAAGATAAGTTAGAGTTACTGAAAGAATTGATAATGCCATTTCATGGAAGTATCCTATCTAATAAAAGAGAAACATGGTAATTAGCTGTATCTCCGCTACCCTTCCCATTGGCTAATCAGGGCGATATGCAAATTAACTGCCAGCCAAGATGGCAGCCGCAGCCAGGCAGCTTGAAGCGAACATGAGGCTTGCTTGCTTCAGTGACAGAGGAAACCAACGTTCCCCGCCTGCCGCTTTCGGCCTCTGAGCTCGCAGTTTGAAACATTGTTACAAATATAGAAGCTAAACAGAACCCCAGAAACCTGCTTTTAGCCAGCCGGGATCTCAGAGCTGGAGTTGAAACAGTGTTTAGATTATAGAACCCAAAAACCAGATACCTGCTTTCAGCAGACCAGGCCTCAGAGCTGGAGCCTAGCCTCAG